AAAGCTTGTTTGATGAGCTTTAGTTCAAAGTGCCCCACCGCCATTTATTCAGTGCAAGGATGCTGCTACACATGAGGATTGGGCGCTTTAAATTAGCACGGCTCGCTAATTAAAGCGCCCGCCTTCCCACCTCCCAGAGCAAGTCTATAGATGCCCCTTGATTTACATACCTGGTAACCTGGGAGGCAATATACACATCCTGGCTACTAGGAAATTTCAGCAGGGAACGACCATGCTATCAGTAAAAAGCCAGTTGAATTGACAGAGTCCCTTAGTGACCCTCCGTTTGGATAGATAAGCATGCAGCACTTCTAAAACTATGTTGTTCAGGCTGGAATAATGTGTAAACTGAAGATCAGTTCTAGATTTGGGCGGAACATGGAGGAAGCCTGGATGGCCCTTACCTGGGAGAGGGGGGGACCCAATGGGAGACAGACAGCAGCAAATAACACAAAATGCACAGCTTCAGCCACGAGTGTAACAGCTAAAAAAAACCCCAAACCCCATCACCCACACACACCATTAAAATGTAGTTGGTGCATTCCAGCTGAGCTGGGACAGCAACAGTTGACATTTGTGCCTTGCCTAAATCGTTACTTACTGTGCTATTTAAAGGAGATTTTGTCAAGTGATTTCAGCCCCCAAAAATGATTTTACAGGGCCTGGGAATAACAGGCATTTAAAAAAAACAGTAAAGTTGCTGTAAACAAGTTTTCTTTCTTAATTTAAACATTTAAATGTTTTCTTGCAGAGCATATAATTTTAACCAGCAGAAACACAGGGAAAGCAGGCACAGAGATTAAATAATTAGGAATTAGTGGCTAGCGTTCCAGGGATGAGATGATATTGACCCTATTACTGGGGACCCTGGGCACTTCACAATCCTTAATTGTCATTGTTGCACCCTGGGTTCTTATCCTGATTTTCACAGGCCAAGGAAAGAGGTTAAGTGACTTGCCCAAGGTCATGCAGGGAGTGTCTAACCGCACAGGAAGTGAACCTATGTCTCTTATGTTTGCCTCCTCACCACTGGACCGACTTCTTTCTCCATCAACTAGAGATGCTGGACTAGTACTAAACTAGGCTAGCAGTAGTGTCAACGTTAGGGCGGCTAGGAGCTGGAACCAACTTCCAAGGGAGGTGGTGCTGGCCCCTACCCTGGGAATCTTTAAGAAGAGGCTGGATACCTACCTGGCTGGACTCATTTGAGTCCCATTTTTTGTTTAGGGTTCTTTTGTTGTTCTCCCGCCCTGGCGGGGGGTCGGGCTAGAAGATCTATTAGGTCCCTTCCGACCCTAAAACTATGAAACTATGAAACCCTTCCACATGTAAGCAAAGGGCTCCAATCTCATGAGCCATCCAGTCCCTTTTCTTCTGTGCATCTGTAGCACATGCAGTGTGTGGTGCCAGGCCCTATCACAAGTGGTCACTGGATCGCCATCCTGCAGCTCTCTGGATGGACCTGGCCAATTCCAAAAATCCAATTTGTCACAAGTGTTTCAACTAACCCCCAAGATCACTCTCAGTCAACAAGATTTGAGGGAACTGGAGGTTTTGGTTTCTTTTGCACTGGGATTGGGTGTACTGTCAGTCTCGTTGGTTCCCTGCATGGGTAGGTGGCTCTTCCTGGTTCCTGTGGATCGTTCACACTGGGATATGGGAGAGAAAATAATTTAAAACAGAAGAATGTGACTTCAGAAACACATATGGCAAGAGGAACTTGGTGGCAGGGTCCTCCCTGATGCTGCCTTTAACTCCTAACTTGAAATGGACTAGATTTCAAGCTGTGCGCAACCCTGGCCAGTGCTTGATGGAACTGGCA